ATCTCTCGGGGGGTCACAGAGGAGGTACAATGGGGAGGCATAGGGGGCTTGTCGGTGGGGAAAGGGGGCATCTCTGGGAGGGGATCACTGAGGGGGTGCAATGGGGAGGTGCAGGGGGCTGGTCTGTGGGGTGAGGGGGCTCTCCTGTGACCCCACGTGTCCTGTCTTCATTTTCTGACACTTTCCCTGTGGGTTCCTCAGGGCGACTCCGGCGGCCCGCTGGTGTGTAACGGGAAGCTGCAGGGCGTCGTGTCTTGGGGCGACGTGCCCTGTGTCTCCACCCTGAAACCCGGCGTTTACATGAACATCTGTAAATACCACGACTGGCTGCAGGCCACCATGTGGACAAACTGAGCCCCCAACTGCTTTGGGCTGGGACCCCAGAATAAACCAGGTGCTACTCCCTTGAGCCTCAGCATCTCCTTTCCCCCCTTGGCCTGCGCATCCTGTGCTTCTGCTCACGACTGTTTTTTCCCTCCGTCAATAACTTGGAAAGAAAATTGCTTATTTTTTAAATGCCGCTGGAAATTTTTTTCACTTCAGTTCCCCATTTTTTGATGAAAATGCTCAAAACCGACCTCTTTCCCAACATTCCTTTTGCATTTTCATTTCATTTTTTTTTTCAATTTTCAAGTCAACCCTCTCCCCCAAAGTCTAAAACGTGAGAGAAAATGGGCGTGGGGTGTTTCTCCTTCACTTTCTCTCCCTTTTTAAAAGCTTCCCTCCCCCCAACGTTTTCCACTGGGAAAAAAAGTAGGAAGGAGTAAAAAACTGATCGAGAAATTGCCACGCAAAAAAACATTTTGCTGGGATTATATTTTTGTTGAAAAGCAGGAAGAAAAGTGAAAGATTTTGAATGCAAGATAATGTTTTTTCCACTAGAAAAAAAAAAGTGTGTCGGGGGATTAACTCAAATTTGTTTTCCCGGAAAAATGGGATAAAAAACTGAAAAACGTTGAATGTGACAAAATCTTTTTTTCACCCGAGAAAAGGGGGGGAAAGTGAAAAAAAATGACTCAAAATTTGTTTTACTGGAAAAATGAGGTAAAAAAGTTTAACTCAACAAAAACACTTTTTTCCTGAAAAACAGAATAAAAAAGTGAACAATTTCAAATGTAACAAAACCCTTTTTTTCCTGGGAAAATGGAAAATAGTGAAAGACTTTGATCTCAACAAAACCTTTTTCCACTGGAAAAGAATGTGTGTGTGCGTGTGTAGACTTGTAAAGTCAGGAATGCAACAAAATCTTTTTCCCAGCAGAAAAACAGGAATAAAGTTTCTAAGGCTGTTTAAACAATTTTTCTCACTCTTTTACATCTTTCCCAGTGGGTAATATAAATAACTGCAAAGAAATGGGGCTTTTTTCTCACCTTTTTAAAAATCTTTGCCTGTTTTTTTTTCCAATAAGGAAAAAAATGGGAGAAAATTGGCATTTCCTCTGCTTGTCTCAAATGCAAATAATGGATTTTGTCTTCTGCAAAATGTTTCATTTTGGAATGTGTTCCAGTCTGAATTTGTCTGGCTTCAACTCCCAGCCGTTAGATTGGGTTAGACCGTCCTCTGCGAGATCAAAGAGCCCATTATGAAATATTGGTTTCCTTGGTAGATACTGATAGACGGGGATCACGTCACCCCCAAACCTGCTCTGTGTGGAGCTGATCAGACCGAGCCTCTCACTGTACGGCAAGTTTTCTAGCCTTGAATCGTCCGCGTGGATCTTCTAAAGGGCTGGAAGGATTAGTCGGTTAGCTTGCAACCGTCCCTCCTCTGCTACAGAATTCCCATCTGACCGTGAGGAAATGGCTTCCTCTCCATGGCGGGCTCCTCCTTGCGGCTGGATCTGGGGATATCCGACTAGCTCGGCCTGGTTGGGCTCCCCCCTCTGCCTCGTGTCCACACCCCTCACATTCCAGGACTCGGGAGGGGAAGGGGCTCTCTGTCTTGTGCTGCCACATGGCTTGGCCCTCCAGCCGGGTCGCTGGCATTTTGCCCCTCCTGGGGTCTCAAAGGTAGGGTTACCATATTTCAGTCCTGCGAAAAGAGGACACTCCACGGGGCCCCGGCCCTGCCCCAACTCCGCCCCCGCCCCAACTCAGTCCCTTCCCCAAAGTCTCCACCCCAACTCCGCCCCCAGGGTGACCAGAGAAAAAAAAAAAACAACAACCAACCCCCGCCACCACCACCATTCCTCCTCCCTCCGCAAGCGCTGGAGGGAGGCCCGGGAGACGCAGGGGAAGCGCGGGGCCGGGGTGAGTAAGAGTCCGGCCTGGCCCCGAGCAGGCAGGACTCAGTCGGGCGGTAGGGAGAGGAGGGGCCGGCCCGCGGGGCCAGGCGGCGGCTGTTCTCCCCCCTGGGCAGCGGGACTCGGGAGCAGCCGCTGTTGCAGCTCCCCCTGCCGCGGGGGGAGGAAGTGGCCGATGGCCAAGCTCGGCGGCTGTGGCGCCTGGGCCCGAACCCTCCAAGCCCGGGCCTGTTGCGGGGACCCAGCAGCGCGCACGCTGGGCCCAGCCCCTGGCCAGTCGCGTCTGGGCTGGTTGCCCAGCTGGTGCTATCCCGC